CTCATCTCCAAAGAGTTGCCCTCTACACAGATCCTGTTCCTCCTCACTGGGGATATACAGAAGTCCAACCCCTATTTATAGGGTAGTTATGCAAAGATGGGAGGGTGGCTCTTACATCCTGGATCCTCCACCCACTCCCATCAGCACCGGGCTGCGGCTCCTGCTTCCTTCCAGCTTGAACAGGAAGCTGTGAGGTATGGCCTCTGACTCAGAATATTGGTCAAGCCGGATCTTTCCCTTCTTTAGGTACTTATAAAGTATGGAGGATAAACCAGGTCTCAGGCCTTGTCCCTAGAGATTTTGACTTGGCTGGTCTGCGGCAAGGCCAAGAAAGCTGTGTTTATAAAGATCCTCGGGATTTCCTGTGTGGTCTGTGCATCCACAGCTCTTGGGAAATCTGTACTACATCACTTCAGAGCTGATGGGCCGTGGTGCTTCTTTAAATAATTTCCAGTTTTCTCAAGAGTTTCTCAGGGTATGCCTCCTTGCACTGAAGTGCACAAAGAACAAGAGTCCCCTTCCCCAGTCTTGACACCATCTTTCAGCTAAGGATCTTTTTTGGTGGTCATGCCGTACTGTTAACTCAGGCTGAGGTTAATTTTTTTCCTTCATGCAGCAGCTACATGGACAGGCCTCCCCCATTCCTGCAGAAAGTACTCTGAATCAGCTAATGTGTTGCTCATTTCCTATTTCACTTGGCTGCCCAAGTGAAACCATGGCCCTGCCCAACCTGTGCCAGATACTCTGCTCATCACTAGGACAAAACAATGATGAGTTATCATCCCATTCCTCCAAGGGCTCACAGCTGAATGGGAGAGACAGACCAGCTAACAGTCTGTTCTAACCCACTGCAGGAAGTGCTCTGAGCTCAATGGGGACAAGAACAAGAGCCCATGGCCAACTGCACACACCACACACCCACTTATGACCTACTCACACCCCACACCCACTCACTAACTACCCACATCCCACACCCACAATGAAGAAAGATATTCCATTTTCTTCAACTCCAGATCCTCAAATGGGCCACATTCCTTCTTTCTCAAGGCTGGCCTCTCACCCCTGTTTGTCAATCATTTAAGCTGCATGGTGTGCTAAAGCCCTTCAATCTCTATAGGCCTGCTGATCTTTTATACTTATTTGTTTTCTCCACTACTTAATTGAAACCTCCTCAAATAACCATAAAACTTGAATTTTTAGCATCTTGCCTAAAACTTCTCTTTCTCAAAATCCCAGTGTTATCCCAGAGACTGCAATGTGTTCATTCGACCACATCAGCACAGGAGGTCAAAATTGCTCACCCAAACACAAAGCAAATGGTAGGAAGAAAGGGCACAGCAGATGAAATACTCATTGAGGAAGACTCTGAAGTCAGAGGGCAGCGGAGGGCTCATTTATGGACAGTCTTTGCAATATGGTATCCTTGTAGGCCAGGCCAGTCGGAAATTCGGTCATGGACGTTCTCATTGGCTGAGGGCATAGAGAAGTGATCAGAGCACTAGGAAAAACCATACTGTAGTCATGTTGAATTAATCAGATTCAAAGGATGGTAGTGACTTGTGTACATATGTATACAGTCTATTTAGAAGGGAGTTCTCTAACTTGAATAAAAAAGAATTCATCAGAACATCGTAACTTCATGACAGTGTCCATTCAACTAGTTCCACAAACTTCCCTAATTTTTATTCCAGGCTCACAAAGCAGCTTCTGATTTTATTTAGCTTTTAGTGGACATTTCCCCTGATCAGTGAACACATTTATCAGATTCACATCTTCCCACCAAACTATTAAACTAGCATTTCATTGCCTATACATCAGGCTTTTGATTATCCTGTGCCCTTCCCTAAAAGGCTAACCTCTTCAACCAGCCAAAATGCAAGCATATGTCTCAACGTGGTATTCACACCCTGGTCCTGATCCCCATGAAGTCCTGTCTCAGCAACCACTGGTCTTCCTGGAGACAACACTGCTATGCTGGTATCTTCTCATTAAAAGCCAGCTTTAGCCTAAATTGTTACATATTACATCAGTCAGCATAGGATAGGTTATGCTGCAACAACAAACAATCCTCATGTCACACCCAGTGGCAAATGAGTAGGAAGATGCAATCTACTCTGTGCCCCCAAAGGGAGATAGCCAAAATCTTGATACAAAACTAATAACCAGCACACATATGTTGCTTGCTCCCTCTTGGAGCCATCCATTCCCAGAATTAATGTTAACTATTTTAAAGATTTTCTTATAATGGCCCCAAGGCTGCCTGTACCAGTAAACCCAGGGCTGAAAAAACTATGGTCTCCCTGGAGTTCAAGTCCTAGGAGCTCAGCCAGCTATCAAGGAAGGCTGATGCAGGTGAGAGGCTCATTACACATTGGTAACACAGCATTTCATTTGAAACACTCAGATAGTGCCTTCTAGTGGTTCTCAAACTTTCTTCTGAGGATCCCTTTAGGGGGTCCAAAAGGATGCTTCAGACATCACACTGGGAGCAAACAGACCACTATTCCCTTCCCTTTGCTCTTTAATTGATTCATATACTTAACTTCTATATAAGATTTAATTTAAAGGATTTTACTCTTCTAAAAGAGTGAGAAGGGAAAAGGGGGAAATCAACAATCTAGTCTGATGCTCTCTCATTACATTTATATGAAAATAAACATTCAAAAAAGTTAAGTATCTTGCCAAGGTGGTGAGTTAGAAGAATGCCTGAGATGGAAGCCAACTGCCTCTCCTGCCTTCAACTCAATAGCACTCTTTTTTTTTTTCCTCCTAATTTACACTAAGTCTGCAGGGTAAGCTGCAAAAACAAACATCTGAATGTCAGTGGGAAAAGCTAATCAGTGGGCATTAGCAACATATTCACAGAGGAATCTGGAACCTTTTCCCAGCCAGTTTGAGAAATACACATTACCACTTGGCTAGAGCAGCAACCAGGGCCTTCCCCTTCCTTCTCCTGGACACCAGATCCCTGCCCAGCGGGCACAGAGCCATAGCTGCAACGCTGCTTTCTGCTCCACATTTGTCAAGATTTGAGATAGGCTCATTTGGGGAATCCTGAGTTAAAAAACAAACAAACAAACAAAACCAGCCCCAGCCCAATGTGCACTATGGACAAGAGAGGAGAGGGAAACTCTCAGGGGTGTGGGTGCTTCAGAGGAAATATCAGAGTTAATAAATACAAAGGCTTTTAGAAGCTGGAAAGACACACCAATTTTGCCTCTAAGATTGGCCAGGAAAAAAAAAACATTCTAAAATTCACAAGGAATACAACACCAACACAGAAATCTTTGTCTCTCTTCCAAGTATTAAGTGCTATACAACACTTCCTCATGAAATTCATCAGAAATGCAAATAAACTGTTTGATCTATTTTTTCCCTGGCAACTGACATTTATTTTCACACAGTCCCAGACCTATACAAATGTCTCAGACACAATAAAAATCAGACATGTAAGGCTTTCCCTCCAGGCTCCAGTAAGTTAAGAAAATCTAAATTTGCTTTCTTCCAGACTCACCACTCTCTCCTGCTCTACCCTCCTCCTCTAATACAGAGGAAAGCTCACTAAAGGAGGTGTTAGAACTCCAGGTACCCTACTCTCTTTAACCCACTTCTCTTATTCCAAGAATTGCTGAAATATTGCTCCCAGACTCTCAATGAGCTCATTCCAAAAGGCATTTTGTGGCCACAGCAGGATCTTGGCTTCTCTCTGCAGGGAAACCTCCAATGATGCTGGTAGTCACAAAAAAAAAAAAAAAAAAAAACCGGGAAGGATGGGCCATTAACTGTCCCTGCCTATCAGGGAGAGGTGGTAGTAGGAGTTTTTTTGCTGGGGCAGTGGGGTTTGGGGGTGGGGGGGTGGGCTGGTGTGGGTGTGGGTATTGATGGGTGCTTAACTGATCACTTGTGCTGCCATCAAACTCCTCCTGGAAACTCTTTATGTCATGCATAAAATCACAGCAGAGCCCAGCAATGAAGCCCCCAATCACAGCCACAAGGACAGCTTGCACTTCCCAATTATAATCGTCCTAACCATAAGAAAAATCGGTGTAAAGTTTATAGGATTAAATCTATATTGTTTATATCAGAAACCATGGATTTCCCCCTTCTGTAAGGTCTTCACCAAATGTTCCTTAATTCCCATTGAAAAGAGTACCTCAATGTAACCTCCTTCCCCACAGCTTACAACCACCACCTCCCAGCAAAACAATGCTAGATTAAATGCTATTAAGAGTTGCGCTACTCATTCGCCTCCGGAAGCTCCCTGCACCCCCTGCAAAGAGGACAAATTATTACTTTGGTGGTTTAGCAGCCCAGAGGAGTACTCGCTTTAGGAGGGAAGGCGGCAGAGCAGGGAGGGAAGGCAAGGCTGCATTGGCATGAGTTAGTGTGTGAATGCATGCACACGCCTCGCCGGCCAGGCCTGGCGTCGGTATTTTCTGGCAGGTGAAGTTGAACATCCTTATCTCCTCCGGAAAACGGCGCTTCCATTCCACGTCAACGTGACTGGAAATCTTAATTTAAGAATCGAATGTATCCGCGGTACTTCTGGGGCTGGTCCAGTTTTGCCTCTTACTTCGCACCTCTGGTGTGTCAGGCTTTTTGCCCAGATGGCTCCACTGTTTAACCCTCAAAACTCGGCTTCCTGAGGCGAATTCTCAGCCAGGAAAACTTGCCCCGAACTGCACCTTCTTTTGTCGTTGTTTCTCTTCCCGAATCTCTCGTTTCTCCACCAGGTATGATCAAGCATCCCCCACACACCTTTTTCACCAAAGCCCAGAGCACAGAGGAAAGGGTCCCAGGGTCCCAGGGTCCCCGCGCCTCCGCGGCCCGCAGTGCTCCCGGGTGAAGCCGAGGCGGGGAGGCGAGCCAACAGCTCTGGACTTCACACCGCGCGCGCATAAGTACCAAGCAGTTGGCACACCGGGAACACACCTCTCACACGCATACACACGCACACGTGCGCTCCCAGGCCCCGCCAGTCCCTGGCTCTCCGAAGTTACCTCCGAGGCGGTCCCGGCGCCGGGCCCACACCGCCCCGCGGGTCTCGCGCTGGTCTCCAGCGATGGTCCGCACGGCCTCCAACGCCGCGCCTCGGAAGACTCCCGAACCAACCGGTCCCAGTCTCCTGGGCACCCCTGGCTTCGCACCTGGGGCGGCACCACCGGAGCTAGGGTGGCTTCAGTCTCTGCAGCCCCGGCGCGGCGGCGCCCACCAGCCTGCAGCCTGGGCTAGAGCCGGCGCACGGCGACTGAGGTGGGCGCTCCGGCTTCTCCTGGGCAGCGGGCAGCCAGTACCGGCTCGCATGGCGCTTGGGCTCACAGCGGCCCCGGGACTCGGCCTTTGTGTCTGGACCGGCGCCGCCACGTCACGGGCTTGAAAGCTATGAGCAGCTCGGGCCGGGAACCCAGCAGTGGAGAACCGGGCTGGGCTTCTCCATCTCCGCCCGCCCGGGGCGCGCAGGCTAGCAGGGCGCCCCGGCAGCGACTGCGCGCTCCCCGGGGGACGGAGGGGGCGGGCCCGGGTAGGGGCGCGGCGAACGCGCCAAGGGGTGCCCTGCCAGACGCCTCCACCAGGAGAAAGGGATAGGGACGTCGCCAGAGCCCCCGGAAGGAGGCGTCGGTTCAGTCCTCGGTCGAGGCTGCAGCGCTTGAGGTGGGAAGGAGAGGGAGCGGAGACTGTGCGCTGGAGGGAACCCTGAGCCACCGCGGGGTCCGTTTCTCCCCACTTCCCTACTCTGAAGGTGACTGCGGCCCCCAGCGGCGGAGCAGGGGCAAATGGTGTCCTCCGCTTTCCTCTTCTCCGGGTGCTTTCGGCTTCGCCCTTCCGCGGCCTCGGACTCTGCAGTGCTTTGGAAGACCAGGGCAAAGTGGTCACTTCGCTCATTGATTTTCCCTCTTGGTTAGTGCCGTTTTAATTGGTACCCAGATTGGAGAGACTGGCGGTCACGTGACACACCCTCCCCAAACACACACACACACCAACAAAACTAGGATGAATTTCCAAAAGTCCAATTGGATGCATCCATCAGAACTAGAGGCCTTCCGCAAGTCACCCTGTGTGCTGCAGTGGAACTGAAGAGCAGCCGCTGTTTCTGCTGCCACTATCTATACAGATCCCGTCCCTGCGGTTCGGGAAGCTCATCCTAACAGCACTTTGGGTCCCATAACAAGAACAGAAGAAAGAAGGGGGGGGGGGGCGGAAACCGGAGTCATAGTTTCAGATCCATGGAATCTCATTTCAAAAGGAAAGCAAAGCTCCTACTGAGTCACGTATCAGAATAGCTGAGGAGCAGGAGAGCCATACCTCCGCAGCAGGAAAGGAGCCTCTCCCTGGGCCGCGGTAGGTGGCTTTAACAGAAGCAAAGCCAAAATGTCAGCCCCCTGCTTTTAATACCTGTGGTCTGAGCACCTACTTGGGGAAGGAAGACACCTCCATTTGAGTCTCCCTGCGTGCACTGCCTGGATGTGTGGAGACCACACTCTGAATGCAAACGGGCTAATACATGGACACTTTAAATAATGCCTCATCTGGGTTATAAGTATTGACAACTAGATTCTCCCAGAGCGCCTCCCTACCTGAGTTTTAAAACCAATTTTCCTCGATTTCCTTATTGTGAGAAGTTCAACCCCACGTTAGGCACAGGGATTTGAAAGGGTAAAATAGGAGGGAAGTTTGTTTGATCCACTGTACCTTGCCCAGGTATTCTAAATTTGTAAATATACTGTCTTTTAGTCCCAACGTTGTTTCTGAGGGGCAAGCCCAGGAGTAAAGAGTGCCCAGGGTAAGAAGCCTGTTTGGTGGCAATTAAACAGAATCTTAGATTCTGCGGGGTCCTTATTACCCTTGGAGTTTGAAGGGCAAGTTATTTAAGAGCAAATAGATACCCCCCTCCCCCCCCCCAAAAAAAAAGACATTAGTTGGACCCATACAAAGCCATTAGGACAGGAAGCTCTGCAGCTCCTGCTTTCCCCCTTGCTCTAAGTTTTACTCCTTTTTGTTCTTTCTCACATCGTTTCATGAAAGAGACCAAGTTTTAGGAGCAAAAACCACAGTTTTCTAAAGCTGGAATGGGTTAAAAATCTACTTTTTCATCCTTATTCAACTGAGATTGTTAGGGTTTTTTTTTTTCTCCTGAAAATCCCTTTTAGAAAACAACTTAAAATTTAAAATGACTTAAAAGGAACATACAGAGTATAGTCCTCCAGGATCACTCAGTTCTAGCCAGAAGTCGGCTGGGTGGTGCTTACATATACAAAGGATTCAACGGGTTGCCCCTTTCCACTCCTGACTACTGATTGCCCTAAATTTGCCCCATTTCAGACTTGGGAAGATCCCTTTTAAGACTTAGGAAGTACCCCTCTCACTTTCTGTTTGGAATCTCACCCCTCCCCAAGTGACACACAGTGTTTTAGTTTGGATAAGTGTCTCTGAAAGGTCTATGTGTCAAAGTCTTCATCCCCAGGTACGTATTATTGGACAATAGTGGAACATTTAGGAGGTGGAGCCTGGTGGGAAGTCCTTAGGTGATTGGGGGTACTCTCCAAGGGAATTATGGAACCCTCATCTCCTTTCCCATTTTTGCTTCCTGGCCTTGAGGTCAGCAGTTGCTTTGCCGTTCACAATCCCACCATATCCACCCAGAGGCCCAAAGCAATGTGTCTGTCTGATCTTGGACTGGAACATACACAACTGAACCAAAAATAACCCTTTCCCTTCATAGATCCATTACCTCAGGCATTTCTTTAGAGTGATAGAAGATGACTCACACACACACACAGGTATGGTGCTGCGTCAGCCTGGTATTTTCCCTTGTGTGTCACTCTCTGGGAAGAGGCTAGAATTTCGATTCCCCCTACATCCTCATACACACTCCATTTTACCCACCTGGGGAGGAGTGAAAGTCATTTCTCTGTATCACTCACTACCCCAGAATCATAATAAATTATTTATCTATGGACTGAAGGCATTAACTTAGGGAGGCGGGGTGCAAACTCATGGCACTATACCTCATGATGAATAAAGATTTTTTAAAGATTTTTTTTTTGTCTGAGGAACAAAAGGAGACAGGACCGGGTGGGAGGTGGGCACCAGACCATGAAAAATGAAATCAGCATCCAGAAACCATCTAGCCCCTGCTTTCCCCTCTATGTCTAGTGGTGTCCCATCCAGATCCCTACGTTTCCCTTCATAACATCATTAATGAAGGTGCAAAAACCTATCATGGCATCCAAGAAACACCTTTAGATGTCTATTTAATGATAAAAATAACCTATGTGATTTTGAACATATGACTTCAACTATCTGTTTTTCATCTTCCAGCACTTGAACTGCAGGGTTGTTCTTAAATTTAGCACATGAACTAAGAAATATGGATGGCTTCCACCATATGGAATCTTAGACTGAGTATGAAATCTTAATAAATCTTGGAGTCCACGTGCTCTAGACCTACTCAATGAACTATAGACCAATAGCCAAAAGACACGTATCATTAATCAAGTTCTTAATTTGAATTTTTTTTGAGACTATCATCCTCCACTCTTTCTAGTTCTCTCCTACTTCAGCTCTTGCAAAGCCTCTTTCTCTCTGATATCCTCCAAATTCTCTCTAAACACAAAAGTACAGCTTTCTGGGTATTTCCTGACACTCTCTACTTTTCTTTATTATGTAGATCTATGCATTCCCTCTTTCTCTCTTTGGAGGCAGGAAGGGGAGGAGACCTACAGAGAACCTGAAAAAGAAATCAGAATTCTCTTCAGCGATGGGGATGGAGGAGAAGGCTGTGACAATTCACACATTAATACTTTCTGATCTGCCATAATTAGAACTTCTTTGGGTACATTTTAGATATATCAAAGTATTAGAAAAGGAGAGTGAATGTTGTATCATTAGACAAAGATGTTACCTGATGACCATCTAGGCAGACTTGAGATCACTTCTCAACCTCCCCTGGGCTTCAGTTTCATCATCAGTAGCAGCAGAATAAGAGTCTTGATACATTTGTTGGGAAGATTGAGTAAATGTAAGTATGAGCCTCATAACAGATCTTCAGCAAATGTTTATGGCTCTTAAGTTGGTAGAAGGAGGGGAGGAAAGAAAGAAGGAAAGAAGAGATGGAGGGAGGAAGAAAGGGAAGGAAAGGCAAAGGGAAGGAGAGATGGAATGAAGGGGAAGCAAGTACTTGTGTCGTGGGCATCTAGGCAAAAGCTTGACTGTACCAGTGAACAGGGATTGGGCACAAGAAAATTGTTTGCTCCTCTGGGTTGCAAGGTGAATTCTAATCTTTTGAATCCTGAGAGATGTTGCTTTGCTGGCTGACAAAATGTCAAGTAGCACAATCAAAAGGAAAAAAATCATGCCATTGGCATAGTTAGTACTTAGCAGCTCAGCCTGAGTCTCCTCTGAGCAGCCCAAGAATCTTGCATCCTCATTGCTCCACAAACCCTGGGGTTGTCACTCACCAGTACAGCACTGACTAAGCCTCACCCTGAACCCAGGGCTTTCTAGATCCCGTTCTGCTAAACCTCACTTGTCCCGTATCATATCTAAGGACTTAAAAGGATATATATCAAGCAGAAATAAATCTCAGGGATTAAGACACTGGTTTCAAACGCTAAGAGAAGAGTAGCTTCTACCCTTTACCTCACAAGGAAGGACTTTTAATATAATACCTTCATCACTGGCAGGAAATTTTGGTACAGCAGTAGGCTTATGAGACACAAATTTGGGGTGAGGTAGAGAACAGAGCACTCCTCAGTCCTAACTCATGTTCCTAAGTGGGTAGGAACAAGTATTAGCAAATTGTCAGTCATAAAAGTGAGATTCAGAAGGAGCTGTGAACTTCAGAGCCATGCTCAGAGACTAGAACTTTCTTCTGATTCCAGACCAGTGCTCACCATGGGCTTCTCCCCAACTTTTCTGAAATGCTTCCAGGGCTGGAATTCAGAGCATTTCCATGCTGCCCAGGAGCTGTGTCAAGTCCATCTAGGGACAAGGGGTCTTTTCAAACCAAGGAGACTGTAGCAGTGCCCATGGTCACTTCTGGAAGACTAAGTCCAGGGAGTCAAGTTGGGCATTCTCTAACCTGACCTATGTAGCCCTGGACTTTACTCTTCTTTGCAAATGACTTTTCCAAGCAGAGGCTGCTCTGGTGGTATGTTTGGAAGTTGCAAGGGATATTTGTTGTAGTCATTACCATCACTGTAATTATTAATACTGCTAATATTATTTGGGGCTGCCCAGTTTCCAAATTATCTTCCTATTTTGCAGCCATTCTGAAATTTTTATGCCTCCTCTTCTAAACCTTGGCAGACTAGGCATGGGCAGGGGGCCCAAGGTCTCTTGCCTGAGGCTATGAATCTAAGCCAGTCGTGATGTAAGAGAATGCAGTGACAGTTTAGAAATAGTTCCACTAGGAGTGGTAGTGACATAGAAGGTGCTCTGGATCAGAGCTAGGAGCAACAGAGCTTAAACA